ACACCACTTGTGGCGGCAATTTTATCGGAAAACGCTCCATCGACACGAACTTGGACCGAACGGTCACTCAAATAGTCTTTCAGCCAGCTCAACAGATTTCCCGTCACGCCATACATTTCAAGTTTCCGAAGAAGGATACTGTGATCGACTCGATCAAAGGCTTTGGATATATCCAAGTAACAGGCATGTACAGTAACTCCCGCATCGACTGCTCGTGTCCAGTCATCGAGTGTCACGAGGAGATTGGATAAACAAGAACGATTCTGTCGAAATCCGTGTTGTTTATCGCTCAACAAGGAGTGAATTTCAAGGTGCGATTTCAGGGCTTCTGCTATAATTCGTTCCATTACTTTTGATATTACTGGGAGAAGAGTGACAGGTCTGTAGTTAGATGCACACGTTCTGATACCTCCTTTGAATATGGGGGCTATTATCCCGCATTTCCAATCCTCTGGTACCAACCCTTCTTCCAGAGAACTAGCGAACAGTTTAGCCAGAGGATAGCTAAGTGGTTCAGCGCAGTGGCGCAGAAGCAGTGGTGTAACGCCATCCCCACCAGGTGAAGTGTGTACCTGTAAGCCGCGAAGGTGTTTGACAATGTTAGCCCGATCAATATGCACGTCCGATAAAGTTTCGTCCGTTAGTACCTCCACAGTTTGTATAGGAGCGCGGGTATCTTCAGGAGAAAACACGGAAGCATAAAATGTGGCAAGGGCATTAGCTGTTTCAAACGCATTTGCAGTCATTCCCGATTCTGTCTTTATGGCAGATATACCTGGTTTAACTTTAGCCTGCGCATTCACGAATTGATACAATAGTTTGGGGTTTTTCTCCATCCTAGTCATCAATTTGAATTGCTGTTGTAGTTTGTCTTCCTTGATTAGTGACGTGACTTTATTCCGCAACTTTCGGTACGACTCCCAGTGTTCGTCGGTCCGGTTCGTTTTATATTGAAACCAAGCGATGTTACGTTCTGTAATCCATTTTCTTGTTCGACTCCTCACTGTGAACATCTGTACGCAGGTGGCTCGAGGCACCTCTGTCGAATTGTCTGCAATCAAGGTCTGCAGCTGGGCTATGAATGATTTCCATCGCCTATTAGTATTTTCGTGTTCGTCATCCAGCATATTTAGGTCCTGGAAGGCTGAGATTATCTCCCGAAAATTGGTCTTCAGAACATATTTATGTGGGTCGCTTAAACGTACGGAGGAGCAAGTGAAATCGAACAAGAGCACGAGATGGTCGCTCTTTCCCAGTGGTGGTCTATATATGATTTGTTCAACCATAAATGGCTCACTAGTTAGTATAAGGTCAAGTAACGAAGGTTGATCTGTTCCACGAAACCTCGTACATTCGTTAACATGGTTGAATAAAGGTACCAAATCTAACAGCTCCTGAAAGTGTGCTTCAACTGAGTTGAGCGAGTATGAAGCGACGAAAAGCTGGGGAAAATTGAAATCACCCATAATGAGAATGGGAATGGAGTAGTAAGAGCATACGCGACGGATTCGGTCACATATACTGAATGTGTGAGTGTCCATTGCGGTTGGAGAGCGGTAAATGACACCAATAATGCACGCATCTATCTTGTTTGACTTCAGCATACACCAGAGGGTATCTTCAAGGATGAGATTAGCGTCAGGTATTTCAGCACATTGAAGACTACTGTCATAATATAGTGCAACTCCACCGCCATGGGTGGCTCGATCGTGTCGTATAACACTCATGTTTGTAATTTCGATTTCCTTGTCCGATATTTCCGCTTGCAACCAAGTCTCAGTCACTGCCACCAAGTGAGGTTTGTATTGGTCGCAAAAGGCGTTTAATTCTGCCACTTTACTGGGCAGACATTGGGTATTTGTATAGAGGCACTTAAGGCTAGTCGTTGTGGTTAATTCTGCTGTGCTGCAACGCACGACTCCCGGGGAGCCAGCAGTGATTCGTTTTTTGGTAAATCGTTTTTTGACCCCAATTTTTCCATCATAGTCTGAATACCAACCGTGGTTTGTTGGTATTCATCAGTGATCGTTTGCGTTTGAATAGTTCCTATTTCGCCAGTCCGAATCGTATCAGCAGATGCGTTTGAGCGTTTAGGTGAGCTTATTCTCAGTTCCCTCGGAAGCAAATTACGGTGCCTTCGCCACTGAGCTTTCACCAAGTTGGCCATTTCGGCACGAAGAAATGTCAGCTTTAAGGGTCTAGGGCCGTTTCCCATGTATTTTTCCGATTTAGGAATTCTGAAAGCATCAACTACTGCCACCTCTTCCGTTTCGAGCGTACTACTCAGAAACTTCCACTGTAGAACGTCATGTGAAATGCGTGCCGTTTTATCGGAGGCATCGTCAATCTCAGGGACACCCAGAATGATCAAGCTCCGATCATCAGCACGATTATTAGTCGCTTGATTTTCGACATTACGAGATCGTTCTGTCCATGGTACGTCAGCATGAACTCGCGCGCTATTTTCCGAATCGCTCTGGAGTCGAAATGCTGACAACAGTATATTTTCTAATTCTTTTTCTGTCTTAACAGTTACTCTGAGAAGTCTGGGTTTGTCTTGATGATGCGATTTCGGCGGTCGGCTCAGGCGAGTCAGCGAGACTGGTTCGATGGGATCAAGCTGTATTCGATTGCACAGCTTTAACCATTCTTCCATATCGTGCTTATGCTTAGCCGATAATAGTGAGTCGCTTGGCTCCTTGATATTAGTGCATATTACGCTTAGTTTAGGTTTCGGTTTCAGTTTCCTAGTATGGTCGGTAACCTTCGATGCGGGGCAACCGACAATTCCCATGTTCTTGTGTATACTGTTGAGTTCCGCTGGCTCAGGTTCAGTAACATTCGTCTTTTTTGTCTTGGTGCTGTTTGGTCTGGTTTCCTCAACAGTCCTCGGAGTGCAAGCAGCGTCTGCCATTGACCTAGATGCCTTCGCTGATTTTACATCAGTTGTCTGGTTAACTAGGGGCAGCAGAAGCTCTCTGAGTTCTTGTATTTGTTTTTCCAAATGGGATATTTTATCCTCCGTCTCTCTGTTTGCTCTAAAGCCCATAGTGGTCGGTATATCTACTTGGCCAGTATCGACATTGGAGGCTCTACACATAGTGCATCGATAACAGATAGATGGATGCTTTGGGTCATTAATCATCTGAGCGCTCAGATCAGTCAGGGTATTGTCACAACGCGCATGCACCAGTAATTTGCAAAATGCACAATTAACTACGGTGGTGTCTCGACTTACCGGGCCTTGGCAAACAGCGCAATGACCGTGAGGTGATTGTTCCATGATTGGATGAGTCAAGGTCTCGGTCGGGTTTGGCACGGCCGTGTTCTTTGTGTGCGCAGCGGATCGCGTTGCGCGTTTGCACGTGTTGGTCGGTTGGTTCGACGTATGCGTGGGTGTGGACGCTTTGCGGTTCTTTGTCGGCCTGGTCGCCTGCATCGGGTGAGCGGATCGTGTGTGCGGTTTCGACACTGGCAGGGCAAGTGGGGTAGCACGTAGGACGAATTTCGGCGGATGTATGAATGCTGGTATCTGACGTAATACTTCACCGATCTTAGTGAAATTTGCTGCACTAGATAGAACTCGTCATCAGCTTTCTTCTAGTGTAGAAACGGGATAACGGCCAATAAAACTGGGTATACTCGTACGCGTGGATGTGGAGGCCGCGTACGTTTTAAATCCGTTAGTCGTGAAAAACGTGAAAAATTTTCACAGATGAATATAGATGGTATATTCCAATAGATCTCCCAAAGAGAAATCGAATGGTATGTCGGTGAGCGTTGTAGGACAAAATAGATCCGAGAAAACTGTATCGGAGTCGGAGCGCCAAAAGATGCGACTGCACAGCAGGCTAACAGGCTAACAGGTCCCTCTCCAAATCGTCATGCGCACTCTTGCTCCGAAGGAGAAAGCAAAATTTGTGTTCCAGCAGAATGAGGAAATGCCGTCATTGAGTGGTCAGTGCCAATCTTAAGATACTGGATGTCTTCGCCAATCGCGTCGAATGCTCAGAAAAGCTGCTTGTTCTGTTTGACCATCGCAGTGATTCCTGATATTCGGAAAATGGGTGCAGATTGTGTAGATAATGAGAAACGGGAGAATCATCTTTGAGAAGCTGTCAACATTATAATGTGGCAAAATATGTACCCACTTCTTCATCAAGTGCGCCGGTGTTTGCTATGTGGACGGGTGGATGTAGCAAGCGATCGACGGTCTGAGTCGGATACACGGGAGAGCAGTTTGGACCTCATTTTCTAGTGGAACCAAACGGGAAGTTTCCTGCGAGAAGCTGGGGTAAGGCAGACAGATCGGAACAGCCATTTTGATTTCTTCTGAGATCATGTAGCTAACGGTGAGGAGCTTCGCCTTCTAACGCGTCCTCAAAACATGCACTGTAGCCTCACTTACGATGAAAAACGTTTCGACCTACCTGTACGGCCACACTGAATCTGTCGTGGTCGGATGCATGCTGGAATTTCTCTTTGCATGCTCATGCTCTTTTAAAGTCTTCTGAAAATTACCGCATTCAGAGCTCCACCTAACCTTATTCTGAATCGTCCCGCAAGTCAGCATCATCAATCCTGCCGGTAGCTCCCAGTTTAGGCGCGTGGATTTATTGATCGCCTTGTAGAAGACCATTAGACATGTGGCACAGTAGACATCAGTCCACGAATAACTAAAGACTGCACACATAGCCCTTGTTCAAAGAAATTCACCAGATTATGTGCCTAGGAACTGCGAGGCAGTTAGTGGTGAAATGCCTTTTGTAGATAAGTTGCTCTAGTTCGACACTTATAATAACAAGTGGGACATTACTGTAGAGTGTGATGTTGGGAAAATTACAGTTTATAATGTGGAACAATAGCGCACTTGCATTCTACAATCGAGATGGTGCTGGTAGACAGGGTTAACTTAGTAAAGTATGAGAAACGCTTTTTGTTTTGTGGCGAATGTTCCAAAGGTGAACCGACTTCGCAATCAGCATGGTTACCTGAGGCGTTTATGGGATACGTTCCTCACTCCTGTAGGCGTCCAAAGATCTACCTGCTCTAGAGTAGATATATACGACATACAGCGGAAAGCTGAAAAATTAACAACAGATGAGGAGTTGTCCGGCAAGTGCTGAAAACAATGAACACTGTATAAACCTTCCTGCAATAGGTATAGTGAATAGCGAAGACGGATTATTACAAGTTTTGCAAAGAATGGATGCACATTTAAACGATATCCACACTCAAAACAAATGCCCCTATATGTAGCGCTCCTCACACGCGTAGCAGGGATTATAACCCTTCGTTCGCGTGCCGATTGGTCACAAATGATTGCATCCAAGGTAACAAATATGCTGGCCTTTATTGGCAACATCAGGACGCAGGAACACTTCCGCCTTTTGCACTACGTCATGTATGCAAAAAGCCCCTATATGTAGCGCTCCTCACACGCGTAGCAGGGATTATAACCCTTCGTTCGCGTGCCGATTGGTCACAAATGATTGCATCCAAGGGAACAAATATGCTGGCCTTTATTGGCAACATCAGGACGCAGGAACACTTCCGCCTTTTGCACTACGTCATGCAGGTATGCAAAAATGTCTTCGGTTATTCACAATTCTCCACGAAGTTCTACAAGAAACATAGAGCTCGCCGTGTGCCAAAACTGGAGAGATTGCAGCTGTATTGTTACTGTGTAGCTCTGCGCTTCCTACATTCTTATGTAAAAAGACAATATCGGGTTGCGGTGGCGAGAAAGTCGACAAACCAAGGCAAAGCCAGTTTGATATACCAAAGTAGACGTATAACTTTTGGGGGCCTTCTCAAATTGGACATGACCGGGGTGCTTTCATTAATGTTCTAACATCTTGAGACAGTTTCGAAAGTTAATGTCGGTAATACGCGAAGACGACTGACGGTAGCGTAAGGGACATTATTCGAAATCATTTGTTCTCGGTAAATATCCGCGAAACTGAGCTTGGGGCTATTCTTCATCTCATTTTGTCCTACTTTATTGTTCGTCTACTCGGGAGATTGGTGTGTTGCACGATCAACCTCGCGTGCGCCCATCAAATCGCGTGGTTGCTTCAAGGCTAACACTCTTGCAGGGACGCGCGAAAAAAGAGGCAACCAGGGCCTGTGGCAGTCCAGGAATTGAGCTCGGTGGCCACTGCCATCTATTGAAATGCTGATGCAGACAAACAAGAAAATGTCGAGGCGTGTTTCTAAAAATCAACTGAGACAACGCATTATCGTTTTATGACAGCACTTCATATGGTGTGAAATGGCAACGTAAACAAGTGTGGTAACAACTCTTAATTATAATGAGCTCGGAGCGACATCGTTAAATAACCGTCAGATAATCGGATATAACCGCAGAATAAGCAACGCGGTCGGCGCGAACGGGTATGAAGTTATGTGATTGTGAGTGGCGTGCATTAGCGAAATTTTACTCAAATTAATTAGGGACAAAAGATCGGAAAAAACATAAGATGTCCGGTGATGTTGCATGTTTGTGCGATGATGTACCTTCAGAATGGCACAGTCAGAACCTATTGAGAAGCGTGGAGGTTTTACAAAACAAGGTGCCTCTGAGGCGTCATTTCGCGTGTGTTTTGTGAGTCTCTATTAGCATTGTCCGCTTTATTACGAAGAATGTCTGGGATTCATAGCAGGATTGCCTGAACACATGTCACAGCCGAAACAATCTCAGGAAAGCGACACAAGCATTCGAAAAGTTTGCTCCCTTTTTAGTTTTGCTTTTCCACGGATGTGAACATGATAAGTTCTTTGTATATGAGACCTTCGCTCGTGTGAGTGTGTAAAGAGAACCTTCAAAGTGCAAAAATATTCTCCTGGGCATGCTGTCACCGAATGCGCCAATTACGATTGAATCGGTTGCCCTGTAGGTTTTTAAGACGTTTACATATCTTAGAAGTTTTATTGGTTGAGATCTTAGTGTGACAGATGCATGAATTTGAAAAGCTAGGGGTGGCGTTTGCTACTTTAAGACACCTACGACGTCACCGAATTATATCTCCGAATCCCAAGAGACGTGGGCATCAGGATGTAGAACGGTCTGGTTTGTCGTATGGCTGTAAGACTGCCTCTTTGAGCAGCGGAATTTAGACGTCTTTAGTTGTTCTACGACAAGCGCACCGGAGAAATGTCTCGTTTTGGTTGGTACCGGAGAATACAGACCCTAAACCTAACCTATATGACAAACATGTAACAAAGCAACAGAATGGCCGGAATTAGCTTTCAGCTTTCGATGTGTTATATGTGTCTGGAATGTAAACGCTGGAGTTCACAAGATTTTTGTTTTACGAAAGCAAGCACGTTTGCGGACCCGTTCCTTAATTAGAAATATCCAGTTGTCGAGTGTAAATGCGAAAAAGTGTGCGTTGATTACAGGTTACGATGAGGACCATGGAGCTGCCGATTCTTTTAAGCCAAATGACTTTGGTATCGATATACAGAAGCGGAGTGAATCGAGGAATTAGGGCATAGCGGATACGAAAACAGGTAACCACTCACATACTACATCTTATCTACGGACGCATCCATGGATGCAGCTTGAGGACGCATAGGGTTCTTGAGTGCTAGGTCGATTCCAACTCGTCCAATGGTTGGCCGATATACAGCCCTCTTAAGCTTCATCTAATAATATGCATAATCGCTGAATCCATCCATCGTATCATCGGTGTATACACAGCCCCCTGATTATCGCCAAGGAAACTAATCGTCTCCAGCTTCAGTGTATTAATCGATCTGCAATTGTGGACAATGGGCCCTATTAAGCGCTTGGCGGGCTTGCCACTACAACTTTGTCTTATTATACGTTTTCACTGATAATGCAGAAAATACACACGACTTTCAATCGATTATACATCCTTCCTTTGAAAAACCTTGTTGAGCGAGAGTGGCCTCTTGAAAACGAGAACTGGATTGACTGCGCATTGCATCTGTCCCAATGCACCAAAGTACAATTCACCAAGGATGGTTTGGTATTTTTCAGGCATGGGCATGACAGACGGATGAAGCGTACGGATATGAAGGACACTTGTTGGTCATTGAGTTAGGCCATTATGTATAGCTGTTGCTTATAGTCAGCTGTGTGCGTGGGTTCTGACCCGGAAATCCGTGTAGTTGGCCAAGGTAAACATGCTTGAATATGGAGGACTGTCGTTGGCCGTTGGATTAGCCTGGCATGCATAGTTTGGGCCTCCCAACTAGTTCATGTATAAGTACGGGTTCGGCAGTTACTGAAAAACATCAAGTGCGGTTATGGTTGCGACGGGCCGTCTTTGGCTACTGAATTTGTTTATCGTGCATAGCTTAGGCCTCACAATCAGCTTTGCACATAAACACGGACTTGCAATTTCGATAATTAGACGAGGTTTGCTGAAGTCGAAACAAATTATGTTCAATTAAATGCAATCGCAGCCTGACATTAAAAATATTAAAAGGTCTACTGATTTCCTCAACTCTGGAATTTTCGCCCTAAGCTGCACGGGGCGGTACGTTCGAAATTGGTTTTGTTGGAAAGCCATCGCTAGACATCCACAGATGTGGACAAAACTTATGCCCATCAAATGTTAGACATGGACTGCAGTGTCATGCCTCTGGGCCTGGTGGCAATTTAAATGTGCGGGTGTGCAGGACGATCAGGTAACCCGAATAATTAACTTTACCCGTTTCTAGGCAAAACCGCCCCCACCTTGGGGCAGTGATGCCATCCGCATCAAAGAAGCCGGTTGTAATTATATGGAACTAAGTGTGCATTCCAGAGTAAGAAAGACCAGTGCGATTGCTCCGTTTTGATGATGTTAGATAAAAAATTACATTTTTCCTACGTTCTGGCGGATACAAACACGAGAAATTAAGCAAAATTGATGAAAATCGAAGACAAATGAGTGCCCAGCGTTATTAAGTCCGATTCGTCTGCGACGAAGGTTGTCAGCCCTCTGATACGGCAGTCTAGAGCGCCACGGCAGCTCTAGTAGAGAGGTGCACAAGGATGAGCTGGCTGATCAGCTGGGAGTTGTTTTTACGGAGCAGGCACGCCACCAAAACTGAAACAAGTGCTTATTGTCGAGTTTGTCAAAAAGCCAGGAAATGAATGACCTTCACGCGGAGTGGTTACGCGAAAACGGAAACAAGCAAACATCTAGTCCTCTAATCACCATTTTCTTGCCAAATCCCGCACAAAGAATCTTGACTCGGGCTATCAGCATTCAAAAGACTCACCCAAAGTTCAAGTGTATATCTGAGGACCACCCTCTAGAGACGCAAAAACTAAGCAACAACAGTCCCAGAATAGAAGCGCTTACCAAGCATTCTCTGGGCGATACCTCAACCGCCATCAAATTTTTGGCAAACGCGACGGTACTTGTAGACCAGTGGAAAACTTAAAAGCACGTTGATGCAACCGGCCGCGATAACGGTTTCCAGTTTCTTCTTAAACGCTGCAGAACACTCGGTTACCAGCAAGAGTGATGCTCGCGGGCAGGCAAGCCTCGCGTGGACTCAGCGTCAGATGTGTGTGAAATTATCATCGCTTATTCCCTTACCGGGCGCAGGGATGACGCAAATTCTTGGGGGGAAAGACAAATATAGAGGTTCAAAAGCAACAACCATCGAAATGAACAGATAGATAATGCTAAAATGCTTATCCACAAACTGTCTCGGTCTTTCCGTTATATTTAACAGTCGCCTTGCCTTGAACAGCTGTCCATGATGGCATCTGCAGCCAATCGGCTCACACGCGAAGATCTCTCTAGCCGGCTATTCCAATTCCTGAGCTGACCCAAAACACAGGAGGACAAGTGAGGCTGATTTGTTCTCACGTGCGACCTTGCCTATCCCGATTGTTCCTTCTGAAAGCACACCTGCAACATACTCTGGTGCACTCTGGACTCATTTCACGCTGCGTTGGACCGATTCTCTCCCCTGCTTGATCTATCGCATTCCCTTGAGTGCACCGGAAGATAAAAGATCTCCCATACAAACACCTGACGCCATTCCTCCAGATACAACTTCACGCATCTCTCAGGCGAGTTTACCCCTCGAGAATCCTCCTGGAGGAAACTACACCGAATTTAATGTAGCGGACGATGCATAGACGCCGCTGAACTCACTCAACAGAACGTTGAAGCTTAAAATGTCGTCACGCACACCAGATACTGCGCAAGCCAACATCCATCCATGTCTGATTTTGTTATCACTAAAGAAAGACACTTCATTGATCGCCACTGTGCTGACATTTGATTTCATCTGCTACTAGGCCGGTATCGAAACCACGGACGTGGAGCCCTGCCGACTTCCCAGAAATTAGTAGCTTCACTGATCAATCAAAATTGGTAACCGCATCAGTGGGGTAGTTGTGCATGGCGATCAAATGAAGATTCATGAGGTGACACACTTCGAACCCAAGAAAACCGGCGCGTAGTCAGATAGACAAACGCCGCCTTAAATGGTTGGATGTCTTCTGAAGAAGTGGTCCCAACCATCCTTTCAAAAGAAAACAGGTGACACAGAGGACGAACTGGCATTTCGTGAAAAGCATAACTGCTGTAAATCAGAAACTCGCAATTGTGCTTCCTTCATCGGGCCATCCTTTCAAAAGAAAACAGGTGACACAGAGGACGAACTGGCATTTCGTGAAAAGCATAACTGCTGTAAATCAGAAACTCGCAATTGTGCTTCCTGATCTTCATCGGGGAAAAAAGTTGTTGTATAAGTGCATGAGCCACCGTCGAAGAACGCAAGCACTAGTGCTTACTCCTTGAGATACAGGAACGGGAACTAAAAAGTGATCCAACAGTGGTATCTGAAGTCTACGGATAACACTTCGCAGGCTTGTATTCTGTCCAGGCACCACCGTCATAGGCAAACTCGTCAAGATCTAATTACAAACTGCCCCTAACCAGCGAGGATTTTAATAACGAGGACAGTTATGAACTCTTTCAGTGTGTCGAGGCCAGAAATTGTCCACCCGAGGATCCTGAAGAAAATGTCGCCATCACTGACAAAGCATATCTACCTGATGTTACATCAGTTTTTCGACGAATGGAACCTTCCGTTTGCCTGCAAGATAGCGATTGTTATGTCAATCTACCTTTTTATGGCGACCTTCTAATGCCTGGCAGCTGCAGGCATATCATCTCTACCAGCGTGTCATGCGAGGTGATGGAGCGCATCCTCAATCTAGCCATCTTAACCAGGCTCCCCACGAACAACTTTATAATCCCAGTACAACACGAATTATCTCCAAACCATCCTCTCATTACAACCATGCCCATATTTATAAATAGATTAACCTAAGCTGGGGAAGGTCTCATAACTGAAACCCTTTATTCGACTTTTGAAAGGCAATTATTCGAGCTTCACAAGTCCCGCTGACCCAAAAACTCAAGCCTTACGTGATTCAGGGAAAAATCCAACAGTGGATTAATGTTTGTTCATAAGAAAGGAAATTCCAAGTGAAAATAGGCTCTACCTACATTTCCTCGGTGCCGGGTTCCTCAAGGCCCTGTCTTAGAATGATCTCTGTTTCTAATATGTCAACGATTTCCAGTTGTTCTTTCAAGTCCACATCTACTGTTCGCGGACGAATGCCAGTGCAATACAAACGGGTGGATGCAGTGCAAAGTAGTTGTCGTTGGACTCGCGTCTTTCTCCGAATGACGACAAGTGCGTCAATATATCATTTTGGGAAGGTTCAACGAAAGTCTGTATCGCACATGATGCCGTGTATCACTCATGGTGAGAACGGGCTAGAAGACATTACCAGGATCGGTTACAAAAAGATTCAGTTATCTGGATCTTTCCAAACTTATTATTCGCACTGCCGTAAGAAAAATCGGCTGCATGGCTGTCAGCCGTTCAACGGGTGGTTCAGCAAACCTTCCCGGCATTACTTTTATGGACTTCTAGATATCCTATGGGGCCTGCGTTAGAGCGCTTATTGAGTATGCCAACCAGATCGCCCAATCAGGACGCAAAAAAGATTCAACCTTCACCGAGCGTGTGCAACCAGCTGCTAGGAAAATGTTTGCAATCTTTATGTCCGCTGAGTATGAAACGCGCCTCACGGTGCATAACATTCCCCTCTGAAGGATCGTCAACTGCGCGGAGACCTAATACTTACGTTCTGTTCGAACAAGTTTTGGCCAACAGAAATTTCCACCTTTGACCCAGCTAACGCGCACCCGGGACATGGTTAGAAGAATGTCAAGCTCAGAGCTCACACCTTTGTCAGGGGACGGTTTTTCTCATTTCGGGTAGCTGGTGAGTGGAATGACCTTCTCTCGATGATTGTGCACTCTGCACCGAGAAACGATGTTTTAGTCGAGATTACTGTCCCGCGTAGCGAACCTTAAGTGCAATGCAATGTTTTTTGCTTATGTCATTCAGGTGAACATAGGTTACTAAAGGACAACTACAAACCCTGGTCGGGGGCATGGTCAAAACTCCGGATCCTGTGAATCACTCCATGAATATGTGAACCCATGGGCTTTCGAAACAAGTTAGTTTGCTGAGGTTTGTCCCGACGCAGCACGTTTGTTGGGGCGCTCGCCAGGGCTTCGCGCGTCAGAAAAATCCTATTTTGTCCCCATAAATGAAGACATAAAATTTTGAGATTTTCTGCTTTTCAACGTGTTTTTCTATCATCCTCAAATATCGGGCGTATTGCATAGGCTTTAAACCCACCACACGCGGAAATTATTGAATGCTGTCTCCGAAATTTCTCAACAAAAGATCTTGCACCAGTAAGAAGATAGTACCACCAACAAAGAGCGAAGCAAACTGAAATCTTTCTAACAATGTGGCAAGTTCGTTAGAAGAAAATAGATACTTACAACACGGCCGGTGTAATCGCTTGCCAGACACTTGAGGACCAGAGGCAATGCAAAGCACTGACTCTCGCGCATGCAAATATGACCTCAGGTTACAACGGTATCTAGACTATAACCGAAGGCATTTCGCCACAGCGACGAGTTTGCGCGGCTTAATGGCGACGTGCCGTGACAGAACATTTCTAAAGATAGTGCCTCCTTCGTTATTGAAGCGAAACGCAAATTAAATACTATCTCGGTAATAAAAAATCATCGTGAAATGCCTGAAAAACGAAAAGCAGGCGTTGCTTAATAAGCCATTAAGGAAAAATGATCGAACCATCCGTAACTCCAGAATGCATCATCTTCTCAACCCTGACGGGCCCGCCGTCTGGAACCTCTTTCAATGAATGAAAACTACAACACAATGTTGAAGAAAATTCGCGAGGCTGATATAGTGTTCACCTTGAATAAGTCAGCTCACAATCAAACAAATCAAGGGATAATTTGAAGGATAAGGCATCATTTGGAATCAGAATCATAACTATGTATGGCTTGCTACGTGAGAGACAAAATAGATAAACCCATGAGCGACTTGACAGAATTTGTAGAAGCCCCCAGCTTGCATTTGGCCTCCTAAAATTCTAGTACCCAGAACTTTTGACTAGTTACTGCCTCAGGGCTGCCGCCTGCTAGTCTCCCTAGTGTACATAATGGGACGCATTAATAATAGATCAACTGAAGTTCAATTCACTAGCGACAACTCGATATCCTACGCGAAACAAGAATCCCTACTGAAGCGTCTTCGGTTGACGAACCGGCCGGTGCCTCTTGGCAACTTGGCGTCAGCAAACGATGAAATTCCCACAAGGGACGACACTTTATTTCTCAAAATCTTTTGATCGTGAATTGCATATCACACTGCTCCATATTCTTGAGGTCTATGAGTTCCGGGTAAAGTCTATGCTGAGCGATGAAGCTCCGCTCAGGGGGAGTCTGAGTGGAAAACGTACCAACCTACTGTCCTCCTGCACCTGTCCTATTCGGGATTTTCCAATGCTCCGTCATGGAGCCACCCTTCCTCCCGACATATGTCAGCAAACTTTCATACAAGCCTTTCAGGAAAGACGTGGCGTCCTCGTGTTCCAATCCCAGCGCACTGGATTTCGCTGTTGGCACCGCGAGAAAATGGTCACCGGACTGGAACGTCCCTGCGCACGACGAAAATTCTGCTGTGTTTTCCGGAGTGTAATCATCAGGCGGCCTTGTCATGCGTGGTGACAATCGACCATGAGATACTGCGAAGCCGGACATAAAAACAATTTATTGCGTGACCCCCTTCAACCACGTAATTCCCCTCCATCGCGAAAAATTGACTCGGGTGGCTTTCGTTGCACGTTGCTTGATTCGGGGCACTTATCCATGAATCACCATCAGAGACTTCCACACTCCTAATGGAAATTACGCCGGAACGCCTGTTGAACAGATTACGTAATTCGGACACAGAAAGAAAGTAACGTTCGTCGAGCCCCTCCAAGTAGCTCCTACGAAGATTACTGCAGGCCCCATACACGTTGACTATAAAACTATTTTACTTAACTTCACCCTACACTATCATCACCCTGACGAGAGCTTGATTACTAGCAACGCTTTTCAAATTGTGTCTAGTAAGTAGCTTATCCACCTTCGAAAGTATTGATGCACGACAAAACCCGGCAAGATAGCCTTTCAAGTTTAGAACTCAATTTATTGGACAAAATCTTTTCTCATTTCGCGTTTAAGGCCCATCTCATGTTATCTGGCTTTGTTTCCTGGGTTCACTTTTTGGGCACGCATTTCAGTGCTCACATTACAACGAAGCGAGTCTGAGAAGCCTGAATTTCAATTATGGGACAATCTGGGCTTGCTGGACTGAAACGTTGGACGCTTTGTTAGTATCAATTTACAATAATTTGTCCTAGACGGGCTTGGTACGTTTTTGAAACAAGGCGTTGTGTCGTTTTCTGGTATACTTTTCGGCTGATTATATTACCACAACCTTGTAAACGGTCTGTTGTTGGTTTGTCCCATACAAATTGGGCCTGCACGATAAATATCTCGTTTGCGGCCATATGGTTAAACATAGTCGCTGGATGACGCATTAGGTGTCACTGATTTGTATCAACAACACTCGCATCACATGCATGTAGAGACTGGGTCACCGGGGATTATATTTAAAAAGCGTTACACCTTAGACCAAGACAGAGTGAAACTGGAACAAACAGTGAAAAACGCTGTTGCAGTGCGCGTAAACCAATGTAATCTTATATTTTTTATTAAAATCCTACGAAATCTTTCGTGAGATCTTCATAGGTCCCGAAAATGAAGAGCCGAGAAGTTGTGGTAATAGTGATATTCGTCGTACTAGCTTATGGGTCCGCGCGAAAAACGAGAATTAATCACGTGACCTTTGACATTCTATCTCCATGTCCGATAGACAGCTACATGTTGCACCAGGGCTCTCATATATTTGACTGAATGGTCATTTGCAACGTAATTAACCATGTGCAAGTTGAGTTCGAAAGTTTCATTCAGGGCGGCGTCAGTTTACTCTCGACTGTTTTGCTCTTTCATTTTCCCTGCAAAACCACAAACTACACACTTCCCCGACAATTCTACTCAGCACACGATCGGGCAGATAAAGCTTTCCGAGAAAGGTAGTCCTTCAGCATGAAAAGTAGGCATATGACCACCGTGAACAACTCAGCTCATTCGTCCTGACGGAGTTAGGCTCACAAAAAAGTCGAGCGCAGATTGACAATGCTCACTGTATGTTGCCACCGGACCCTGTAAGGCTTTCAACACACTGATAGTCAAGCACCGACAGGCTTCATACATCTCATAAGGTCACATAGATGCCATAGGTAAGGACGTTGACGGAAGCCTCTCTGAGCTCCCCGATTTGAGGGGTAATCCTGCCTCAAGTCATTCTGCCGGAACCTATACAATTGCTTAAGTAAGTAACTCTGGTGGCAACGTAAACTGGCTTGTTTTCAGGCAAAAGTTGTGGGTTTTGGTCATGCCCATCACTGTAGCAGCACTTAGCTAGTATGTAGTAATCTATCAGCTGTAGTGCCCTTCCGGTGCGCAGGTGCAATGCAACTCAGAGGAAGAACGGGGCGAGGGTGAGATGCCATGATGCCATGCTGTCAAAAGCGATCTGTAAACTCAGGTTGGGTTTGAGCCGCCGACATCCCAATCAGTATGTTTACGCCTTAACCACTGAACCTTCTCGCCATCGGTGCGACATAAATGTACGGCACAAGTAGATTGTCTAAAGTTTCCTAAATTTTTGAGGTACTTGAAACAAGAAGAGAAACACTGCCTGCATACTCGTGAGAAATCGTTTGGATAACATTTCGATCCCAGGTAATTTTAAAACAAGTAGGGAATTTGTGGCGAGAATTCAATATGAAATTTGAAGCACGCTAGTGTGAGAGGACATCTTGTATTACGACACTGGACATAGTGAACACAAGCAGAAGCTTTATGTATAACTTTTTGTGCTCGCGTGAGTTTGCAGACGGTGCCCCAGTAAAGAACCAACGGGTAGAAAGGCTGCTTTTAAAGCGAGAAAACGGCTAAGGAAGGATGACCGAAAGAATTGTGCTGTTCAAAACCTTACCTCACGGTAAAGTTCAAAGTGTTCTTGATCAGGGCGAGGTGTAGGTCAAAAGTTGTGGGATACTCTCTCTCAAAGGTCAAGCAGACTGTGCAAAATAATATCGCAGAGCACCTTTAATGCCAGATCTTCCAGGCTAATGCCATCATGTTGCGGTGCAGTGCTTTTGCACCTGTTTTGTCGGGTAAAATCCAGACTGAGGTGATTTGTTTGGCTGTTATCTTGCCATGTCGAAAATTCTCCTTAGTGGGGTTTTCAGGCTGTTCATTTTGGTTCTGCGTTCTTTTTTATTATGCTGGACGTAGATCATCCGAACCGGGTGCCTTGTCACGATGATATAATGCTTCACACCAATTGTCCTTTGTTGACGACTGGTTAATGTGAGTGTTCTCTACAACATTCTTTCATTTGTTGTGTTGAACCGCCTATTAAAATATTTAGCCTATTGCCTCTTCATATCCTGTGAAAGCCAGACCACCGACAACCTTCTTCTTTTGGCCCGTTAGCCAGTAACTCATTGTAAGCAACCGTGTAAGAGGTTCATGCTGGCCATGAAAAATCGATGTTCGGCAGACAATTTACGAGGTTGCCTATCAATATTTGCACGTCGACTCTACACCAGCCGCCTAAGACTTGGAACTAGGGTCTGTCGACGTATATAACGCAAAAACAGTTGAGCACCGTCTGACACGTCGACCGACACTGATCATAGCTGAGCCAAACAACCAAACGGTAAAAAGACGAATGTTTTCCGGGATCAAGTCAATTGAAATGGTCCCAGTCTTGTAACTTAATGCATGGATAACACCAGCCATTGCATCAGATTGACCAGATGCTTGAAGAACGTCTCAGTCCATTTTAGACAGCTAACAGTGTACGATTGAAGTGAGTCTTTTGTGCGCGTTCTGGCGACAGAACGCACATTGCTGGAGAGAGGAAGCAAGTCCCTAGTAAGCGGTGTTCATTGCCAAATTTGACGGCTTTGAGTTTTCAATAGCCTTTTTTTGTTTGTTGTGACTGGAAATAGTTTATGCACGAAAGTATGGTTAGAAACTGCCATTTGGATGAAAAGCAGAAGAAAGGCTGTACGGATGACCTGTTGAAGAGCCTAATGAGAAATTGATACTTGCGATCCCCCCAGATCGAGGATGAGGATTGGTTTGGTGTACTCCATATTAAGTTACCGACACAAATGCCCAACACACAAGGCGGTGGGTATTAGAAATGTTTGCAGGGCTCTGTCAGCAATGAGTGACTGAATGGGCTGTTTTTGTTGGTGTTTTGGGTATGATTGCGTTTTGTGAAACAGAGTTCTACTCAACACAGCCCACAATATCACAAAGACACCCAAGACCGACCATGATGGCAAAGTGGCGGATTTTGTTCAGGTCGGTCAGTTTACACATTTTATGGTCAAAACCACTGCCTGTATTAAGCCTGACTTAGTCATTCAAAACTTGAAGCACTCATCCGAGGCGTCCTATAATCCCTTGGAAGCGGCCAAACCCTTGCAACACATTATTGCTTTAAACTGAGGGTCAGACTTACCCTCTGCTTTTTACCTGTCATTACCTTTTCCCTAGCTAAACGTTATTGTTTTGCAGTCACTCAGGCTAATTTCGAGTTAAGTTTCTGATACCACCTTTTAAGGTGACCTACCAAATTCAGGTCGCAGGAGCCAAGCGATTCTTCGACATAGTCTGCTGCAATTTTACTAACTGAGATTACATTTTTCGCTAGCTCAATAAATTACCTCTGAATAATCGACCAACATGACCACCGCTACTTGTCAGTTTGCTTGCTTCACTCATCACTTGCGGTAATGATTAACTATGAATGCCAGACTTTTCTGTTAGAAGTGCTCAATATACTCCTATACTACTGGTCAAAACAGTTTACAGTGAAGCCACTAATTCTCTCACCCGGATTTATGAGAGAATGGTTTTCATCCCAAAACCTCTCATAAGCGTTTCACTTATCAGGGTGTATCTCATGGCCAAAAAATGGACAGATACCCTCATTGTCTCATCTCTCCTCTGTTGAGCACTCCAGCACAGATAACACTAAACCTTCTTTCTAACGTTGTCGTCCTTACACGACCGGTGTTATCGGCCTTTTTTGGCCATCCAACTGTCAGACTACAACCTCCAGAAGCCAGTCACTGCAAACTTACTGACATATTCCGTGTGTTAGGATTTACATTTGTTCCAAAACGTACCGTTCGTTTGTCTCTAAGTTATTTACCACTTTCAAAAATCCCATTTAGCCTAGTAGAGAGCTGATACAGCTCCATTCTGTTGGGTGTCGGCCAGACTCAAGAACCTCACGACATCTCCTGACGAACTGTTTCTTGGTTTTTAAAATGCAGTGTACGCAAATGTCCCTAACTGGTACATTGAATGAATAGATGTTGAATCCCACAGTTTCTAGTATGACATGTTCCCTGCTGAGATGACTGGGACGTTCTATTGCTGTCGCAGACAAGGAGGACAATATTCAACAATGAAGGAAATTTTTTAAGCAAATAATGAATGAAAATCATGAAAACTGGCTCTTTAAATAGAGATTACAGGTAGAAAACATAACATAAATATGCTACGGCACTATCATATGATTTATCGTTGCGCCATATTAGTA